TGGAACAAACGGTTTGTTACAAACCACAATCCACACAACAAGGTCTGTTCGATCTTCTTAAAATACGAACGAAAATCGGTACTGTTATGCGCACATACGGCTACCGCCATATTTAATTTATTTGCCGCCGTTAATTTAAATTACCCAAAATAGTAATTCTGTCTAACAGGCATGGAAGAAATAAACAAAGTTTTTTTTAAGTTTTAAAGAAACTGGAAATGTTTTTTAACATTATAAGATTTGTAAAATGTGAAATCACTATTTCTGCCATTATTCGTGCAAGTTTTTACCATACAGCATGCCACTAAATAAATAAATTTATATATAAATAGGAGAAACATTTTACCATAGTTTTACTTACTGGTTAAACAATATTCTTTGCACAATAAACACAAGTATACTGGTACAGTCAACAAAATCCACAATAATCCAATAAAATAACAGAAGCACACTAACAAAAGAAGAATTTTTAAACACTAACCAAAGTACAGTACTTAGTACTATAATCCACAATAATAAAGAAAAAACCAAACAACTATTACAAATCCGCATAAAACATCACAATAATTGCAAACAATAAAAAGGGCGACTAACGTATGAATGTATACTAGGTTGCCTAATTTTGTGATTTTTAACATGCGCGAACAGATCGAACAGACCTTGTTGTGTGGATTGTGTTACAAACCTTATGTCAACACCACTGTTGCCAGAGGTGGTACATTTGTACCATTTTGGTACATTTTTAACCTCGTGGTACAAAAGTACATCGAGAACAATTTTGGTACATTTTCTGCCTACTCTATTATTTACAAAGGTTTTATTGAATTAAGAACATATAACAAATATTAAGAAGTTTATCAAATATATTTGTTGTTGAAAATCTAGTTTAATTATTCCTATCTTTTTTAAAACATCTCAATTGAACATTAATATTTTAAATATTAAAATATTAATTTATTCTGTGTCCGTGTTTAAAACAAGCTAATTTAAGTTCATTTGAAATTTATATGGTACTTTTTATTTAAAATTGGTACATTTTTCGTGTTCACTTTGGTACAATATTATAGTTGCTTCTGGCAACACTGGTCAACACTAAGTAGACAACGCGCGCTACCAACAGTTTAAAACTTAAAATACCAGGATACTAAAATAACTTAGGGTATGTTCCGTAAGTCAACTCTGGTCAACTTGGTTGGTTTGGTTTCGGTTAAGGTGTCCCGTAAATGAAAAATTCCTGAAAATTATGTAGTTAAGAAACGCGGTTCCTGAAAAATAGGTTAACCAATCGTTACCGAAACGACCGACGCTGTATGATCGGTTAAGTACCAGTGCTGCAAACCAAATGGAAACAATGTTGCCCTAAACAAAATTACTGTTTTTTGTTGGTTATCTAACCTAAAAATTTAACACAGGAGCAGACTTCGCATACAAAATACGTTTTGTCCAAAAATAATTGAATTCAGTATATAGGGTGTTTTAGGTTTGTTTATGTATATTATTAAAAATATATGAAGTTTCAATAAAAAATAGTAAATAGTAGGTCGAAAGAAGTAAGTTGGGTTATGTTTTTTTAAATAAAGGTGTCCCGTAAGCACATATTTTTTCCTTAACCAACGTCCCGAGTCCGCCCGCTTGCCGAGTCCCGCTGCTTTACCGAGTCATCTCGCGCTTGCGAACTCAGTGACTAACGTCTAGGTACAGAAAAATTGCGAAGCTTCGAAACCAACCCAAACCCAACAACCCAACCCAACCGACCCCGCCTCATTGGCCCCCCCCGCCCCATTGAGTACAAATTTTTCAACGAAGGAATATTCATTTAATTACATTTTATATTATATAACTGTTGTAAAATTATTATGAGGAAAGGTAAATAAATTAAAATATTAATGTAAAATTAAATATAAATGCTTTTAAGGCCACATTGTATTATTTCGGTATATAATTTCTTTAAAAAAAATTAAAAAAAGTTGTAGAGGCACCAAGAATCGAACCCCGTATCTCTCGCATTCAAAGCAGGCGCCCTTCCATCGAGCTACCGAGCTTATTGTAAAAGCCCTATCGCTCGAAAAAATAATACCGATTTACAGTGTGACAGCGCGCTGCAGCGGGACTCGGCAAGCGGGCGGACTCGGGACGTTGGTTAAGGATAAAATATCTGCGGGCGGACTCGGGACGTTGGTTAAGGATAAAATATCTGCGTCCCGTAAATATGAACTAACCGAGAAAACCAGGAATTTATTTCAGTATAACCAGGTTATAACCAGACCGGTAACTCGTGTGTATTTACGGAACATACCCTTAATATCACCAACCTAAACTTTTAATTTTTTCTTTAATTTTTATTTAAATAAAGGGAAAAAAATCTAAAACTGGAAAACTTACCGAAAACCATCAACGAGGTACTTGCGTACTTTTTTTAATTCGAAAGTACTGAATTAGGTACAAACGTACTGACGCTGGCAACACTGCACCACACAAAAAAAAATATTGTGGGATTGTGGTATATTATATCCTTTTTCTATGGTGGTAGGGCTACCAGCTTTTCAAAATCAAAATGCAGAAGAAATAAAATTTTATTCATTTTGGTCGAACATAAGATATTCCAAGTTTTAATCGAAATAATGGTTATAGTATAACCGTTATACATAATTTTAAAGCCTGATTTATAGATTGCCTTCCTTCTTTCCGTAAAAGATAAACTATACGAAAATCGTAGTGCCATTTATAGATTCCCGTACGGAAATCGTTAAACAACACAACGGTTTTTGTATTTTTCATCTTCTACGGGAGGAAGTAAGTAAGGAAGGAAGGCAATCTATAAATTAGGCATAAGAGTATTTAAAGTTTGTTCCCACTATTTTAATAATAGCGTTTCCATTAATGGCCAAAAATTTCTCTCTTTTCTCCATGCAATAATCATTAAACTGAACATTTTCTCACTAATTATAGAACCATATTGTTTTTTTAAGAAAATGTCCAGTTTGTTCTGTCTGACAGAATCTGTCCTTTAGCTCGAGTTACTCGAGTCGACCTAATGCACCGGAATAAAGCTGGATTTATAGTTTTAAAGGTAACGGTAGAGGCAGCGGTAAAGGTAGAGGTAAAGGTAGCGGTAGCGGTAGCCGAGTTCGGCATTGAATATTGTACGAAACAATTTATAGTTGTCAGAGGTAGCGGTAAGAGAGGTAGAGGCAAGAAGGTAGCGGCAAGAGATGATCTTTCAACTTTTCTTACCTCAACCGCTACTCCAGCCAATCACACGGCAGTTTTCAGTTGGCAGCCTCGCCTTGTAAGTTTAGTTTTTATGCGAGGGGCAACCAGACTTGATAATTTGTCAAAAATGGTCACCGTCATTTGTGTATTTAAAGAAATACTCTATATCGGTCAATTTTATTTTATTTTAATACTGGAAATGGCGTTTCTTAGCTCGTTCCCGATTTAATTCCCTCATTTTATAGCGACGTACTTGACGATCCCCATAACGTACTTGAAACCCTGCAATACAACATAATATCTTGTATATATTGTATAATATATTGTATATATAATATATTGTGTTGCAGGGTTTATTATATAATATTTCGCACAACGCCATATGGCCCATGGGCCAGAAGCACAGCATTGTTCTCGCAATTCATGTTTTCATAGAAAACAACCTTTTGCTATTAAATTTTAGAAACAAAATTACAATCTGCATTAAAGTACGCATGCGTCGTCAGTACCGCTACCGCTACTTTCGGAACTATAAATTGCAGAAAGTGATACCGCTACCGCTACCTTTACCTCTACCTTTACCGCTGCCTCTACCGTTACCTTTAAAACTATAAATCCAGCTTAAAGGCGGTACCTAGGTATAATAATAAGGTAAACGTAAAAACCCTTTGAATAAAAAAGTAAAAACCGTTGAGTGAAGAATATGAATATGCCATATACCTAAAATGTATTGCAGAAAAAACAATATACCTATAAGTACCGATTTTCGTTCGTATTTTAACGAGATTGAACAGACCTTGTTGATTGGATTGTGCCATAAACTATACAAAAATATTTGAATACCTATTCTAGCACAGTCTATTGACAACTTTATAAAAAAATGTATGAAATAAATAAGACAGTTGATTAAAGGAACTTGATGATTATAATCTATGACCATTTTAAAATGATCATAGATTATAATCATCATACAATTGTAATTACGCTTAAGCTTGCCAAAAAACGGGAGTTTACGGGAGGTTTTCAAGGAAGACGTCTTTTAAAAATCGGGAGGCTTGCTGTAAAACCGGGAGACTCCCGCATAAATCGGGAGGGCTGGCAGCCCTAGATTGGGGGTATATTATGTATACCTATTATTTTCCGTTCCATAATGCTGCCATTTTTTTTAAATTTAAATTGATATTAAACGAAATTAGTAAAATATTGTTGTAATAAAAGGCTTTAAATATTGAATATTGATTTTAAAGTTTAAATTTTAAACATTTCTAAAATGTTTAATAATAAAGAAAAATAGACAATTGATTTGTTTGAATATTCTAAATTTCGGTGAAATCTACAAAAATTAAATACTTACCTACCTAGTATAAAAATAGACAATACTTCATGCCTGCGAGTATTGCCTTAATGTGTTGTATTTTAAATTTGGAGCCAATTTCATCTACTCCGTAAAATCAAAATTATTTGTATACCCAAATAAAAAAAATCCATTTTAAATAATTATTTTTGATTTTTATATACTTTATAAATTAAAATGCTATTTAAGCGAGATTTTCATTAGGTTATTAGTAACAATTTATGAATACAATTTTTTAATCCAAACTTCAATTTTTGACTACACCAGTACTTCCGGTTGACAAATTGCCGCTACTTCATTCGACAAGCCGGCCATTATTTGTAAGCGGCAAGCTCTCGTGTTTGTTGGGAAATCCGTTGTAACTTTTCTTCTATTTATTGTTGTGTGGTGTTTAAGTCTTTGTAGACAACAAATTTACTAAAAATCATTTAAAATGGGTGATGAAAAGAGGGTAAGTTGCACATTTTATCTTCCTATAACTACCATGACATATCTTTTTATTATTTCGAATTGATACTTATTAATTTAAGGGAAACAGACCAACGAATCCGAACAAATTAATCTTAAAGTATTGGGACAAGACAATGCTGTGGTACAGTTTAAAATTAAAAGACACACGCCGTTGAGAAAATTGATGACTGCCTATTGTGATCGTGCTGTAAGTATAAATAATTTGGTTTATCTGCTTACATATTGATTATACAAATTGAAAAACATATTATTTTGTTGCAAATTGGCATTTTTAAAACGAATTTGACTTGTTTTAAAACATAACCAAACATTTTAGTATTAGCGGCATCCAAAAAACGCCGGTTCCTTACCATTGCATTATGGTATAGTTTCCATTATTTCCTTTGTAAGACTAATCGCCTAATTTTAAAAAAGTGTCATGTCTAAAGCTTGATACTCTGTATGTTTGTATTAACCAAACAAAAAAGTTTATGGTTTGGCGCCAAAATGCTTTTTATGATTTTTGAGTAATGGGTAATTAAAAACATGGTTCTTAAACATAAACACCACCTTTAAAATAATCCTTAACTTTCTTCATGTTAACAACATTTTAAATATTTGTACTTAGTTTACCAAAAACTATATTTATGCATTATGGAAAAGGTTATTTCCTTTGCAATAAGTATTGCCTATGTTTGTAAAAATTATCATGTCTTGCTACAATCATGCTTGATACAATTTACTTGTTTGGCATCAAAATACTTTTATTAATCTTTTTTTAAGAAATGCTTTAGAAATATGTACAGAATAATAGTAATAATAAACTTTGTAATAATAATAATAATAAACTTTGTATAGGTACAAATGTTGTTTTTATTAATTATTAATAAAAACAACATTTGTACCTATACAAAGTTTTTAAAAACTAGTTTTTAATATAAACAAACAATTATTTAATATTAAATATCAATAAATATTTCCTATATATGAGGGGTCTAGATGCAAAACCCGCCATCTCCATTTATTGAAAGTAAAGGACAGAAGACGTGTTTCCATAACAACATAATTAATATGTATTGCAAACATATCTACTGTCCTTTACTTTCAATAAATGGATTTGGCAGGTTTTGAATCTATACCACTCGTATATAATATATTATATACATATATTATATATATATATATATATATATATATACAAGGTGTCCCTAAACTTAGTGGCACACATTTAGGAGCAGATTAAGCAAGTCAAAATAAGACGAAAATCTAAATAAATATTTTTCCTAATCACTTATGTTTCCACGATACAGGGTGATAAAGTGTTACTTATCAGTATCAGTTTTTTTAATAGGTTAAACCTCTACTATGGTAGTTTTGGAAAGGTGATATTTTGCAAATGGTCACTTACCACCAAAACACATATTCACACATAATTATAATTGTTTGAGTGAACACAGTGTCGTAGAAACGGGGGTTGCTTTAAGCTTATTATCCTATACAAACTTTGAGGTTAGGTTTTTATAACATTTGATGCAATTTTTAGATTACACAGTTCGGCTCCCTTTAAAAAGGTGTACCTCTCAAACTTCGATAAAATAAACCGTTTCCGAGATATTCGAGATTACAATATAATAATATCGCATTATTTAAAAGGGTTAAAAGGTATATGATAACAAATTTTATTTTTTTATTGAAAAAACTAAAAAGAGCATTCCATGAGCCTCAGGACTTTTTGCCCTGACCGTCACATTAAAAAATTGTAGTTTTTTCAATTAAAAAATTCGTTATCATATACATTCTAGTCCTTTAATGCGATATAACAATTATTGAAATCTCGAATATTTTGGAAACGGTTTATTTTATCGAAGTTTGAGAGGTACACCTTTTTAATAGTAGCCAAACTGAGTAATCGAAAAATTCCATCAAATGGTATAAAAACCTAACCTCAAAGTTTGTATGGGACAATAAGCTTAAGCAACCCCTGTTTCTACGACGCTGTGTTTACTCGAATAATTGTAATTATGTGTGAATATGTGTTTTGGTAGTAAGTGACTGTTCGCAAAATATCACCTTTTCAAGTCTACCACAGTAGAAGTTATATTAAAAAAACTGATATGATAAGTAACACTTTATCACCCTGTATCTTTTAAACGTACGTAATTAGGAAAAATATTTATTGAGATTTTTGTCTTATTTTAACTTGATTAATCTGCTCCTAAATTTATGCCGCTAAGTTTAGGGACACCAGGTGAATTTTTTAAGGGGATATTTCGAAAATGGATTAAAATTTTGTTGTGAAATATTGCTAAACTAATAGAGAGGTGGGGGAACATATTTAAACGTATTTTTGACATCTACCCCCTTTCCATATTTTGAGGGGCGAGGGGTAACTTTTTTATTAGGGATGATTTACTTTAAAAAAAAATCGAATCCATGTAAAAAACTAGTTATTTGTGCCAAAAAAAATTGTTTTGCGCTTTCGCTTAAGGTATTATGATTTATTAAATTATAAAATAATAAAAGCGTACGATATTCATTTAGAAAAAGAGTGACAAAGTGTTTGTAAGTTGAACGGGGACTTTTTGAAGAATTTCTCAGACATGGCAGAAGATAAATTAGCTGAAATATAATTGTGAATATTTTTTAGTATCTTAATAATCTAATAAATTATAATTTAGTAAACAAAAGCGCAAATCAAAATTTGTTTGCACACATACCTACTGTCTGTCCACTCTAAGTTGGCTGAACTAAGGAATTTTGTTGTTTAGATATTAAAGAATTGTCGTACTGTGTGCTTTTAAAACAGATTTTATATTATAAATAATACTAGTATATAATATGTACTAGTATTATTTATAATATAAAATCTGTTTTAAAAGCACACAGTACGACAATTCTTTAATATCTAAACTACAAAATTCCTTAGTTCCGCCAACTTAGAGTGGACAGACAGTAGTTTGTTTGTGGATTCGAATTTTTAAAAAATACATCATTCCCATTAAAAATCTAAAGTTACCCCCCTTTTTGAAGAATTTCTCAGACATGGCAGAAGATAAATTAGCTGAAATATAATTGTTAATATTTTTTAGTATCTTAATAATCTAATAAATTATAATTTAGTAAACAAAAGCGCAAATCAAAATTTGTTTGCACACATACCTAGTTTGTTTGTGGATTCGAATTTTTAAAAAATACATCATTCCCATTAAAAATCTAAAGTTACCCCCCGCGCCTCAAAATAGGTAAAGGGGGTAGGTGTCAAAAATTTGACCCACTATTTATAACTCGATTTATAACTATATACTATATATATATATATACAGGGTTTTCATTTTAAAACGAACCACCTTAAATATCTTTTAAATTAAAAGAATTTTAAAAAATCCAAAAAATACGTCGAGTTATATAAGAAGGGGGAACTTCTATCACATTATTTAATTTAATCTAGTGCTCACCCCCACGCGCCCACCCACCCCTACTTTAAAATTTCAAATGGCACCCCCCTACAAGTGACACCTCATTTTAAAGAGCATAAAATTCTCTATCCAATGGTGTGAAAAAATAGTAAATCGGATGGCTATTTAAGGATCTGGAAGATAAAATGTGTGCTGTAAATAGAAAAAAGTAAAAAGGTTTGTATATTTTTATTTTTAAATTGAATACATTTTTTACTTTATAAATTGTTCGAAATGTTCGCCGTTTTTCGCTAGGCAATAGTAAAGTCGATCTTGAAATTCTTCGCGGACACGGGCTAAAATTTGAGACTTAATACTTCTACACTCTTGTGTATCCCATTTTAATGTCTTAATTTTAAACTTACTAGGAGCAATGTAGAAAATGAATTAATGATAAAAGTGCCAGTTTAAATGTTTTTAAGGACATTTTTATTACCTTTTGCACAAAAAGATACCTAAAAACAATATTGTTTTTACCTTATTATTTTATCTTATCAGCACACATTTTATCTTCCAGATCCTTAAATAGCCATCCGATTTACTATTTTTTCACACCATTGGATAGAGAATTTTATGCTCTTCAAAATGAGGTGTCACTTGTAGGGGCGTGCCATTTGAAATTTTAAAGTGGGGGTGGGTGGGCGCGAGGGGGTGAGCACTAGATTAAATTAAATAATGTGATAGAAGTTCCCCCTTCTTATATAACTCGACGTATTTTTTGGATTTTTTAAAATTCTTTTAATTTAAAAGATATTTAAGGTGGTTCGTTTTAAAATGAAAACCCTGTATATATATATACTATAACTACGCTTTCGTAATTTTGCATAGCCAAAAAGCAAAGAAAAAATTAACATATCGATTATACAATCATTCACAATACATTCGTCTTTTTCTTATCTTTTGCATATTAAATTAATTAATTAATAGTTTTACAAGTGTTGAAAAGCCACTTTTTCATGCGAGTGTTAAAGCTTGAAGAAAGCTTTTCTCACAAGTGAAACACAATGTTTTTTCTACGACCCTTTTATTTTTTATTGTATTCAAATACAAAACAAAATAACCTAAAAACGTGTTTGACAGCTGTTAAAATTACTTTCATCTTATTCTTTTAATTTTTAAGGTAGTTACTTAAAATCAATAAACTTACCTTATCAATTTAAATAAAGGCACAAAAATTAGAATTTATCATACAAATACAATGTAAAATTTGAAACGAATGTCAAACGATGCTGTCAATTTCTTTTCACACAGACCTGTCACTTTTTACATAGAAATGTCACTTTACATTCGTGTTTTGCCTTGCCAATGAAAAGATTTATTTTCTAAGCAACGATGCCATTACGAAACGTGACTTTTACATAGTGGTTGAAGAAAATAGTTATTTGTTTTACAAGTGTTGAAAAGCGACTTTTTCATGCGAGTGTTTAAGTTGCTCAAGAGGCCGTCAGGCCGAGTGTGAATTAACACGAGCTTGAAGAATGCTTTTCTCACAAGTGAAACACAATGTTTTTTTTTACGACCACTATGTAAAAGTCACATTTCGTATTGGCATCGTTGCTTAGAAAATGAATATTTTCATTGGCATGGCAAAACACGAATGTAAAGTGACATTTCTGTGTGAAAAGTGACAGGTCTGTGTGAAAAGAAATTGACAGCATCGTTTGACATTCGTTTTAAAATTTTTATTGTATTTGTATATGTATATCATTTAGAACACAATTAATTGTGTTTGTATAATAAATTCTAATTTTTTTAAATTGATAAGGTAAGTTTATTGATTTTAAGTAACTTATACCTTAAAAATTAAAAGAATAAGATGAAAGAATTTTAACAGCTGTCAAACACGTTTTTAGGTTATTTTGTTTTGTATTTGAATATAATAAAAAATAAAAGGGTCGTAGAAAAAACATTGTGTTTCACTTGTGAGAAAAGCTTTCTTCAAGCTCGTGTTAATGCACACTCGGCCTGAAGGCCTCGTGAGCAACTTAAACACTTGCATGAAAAAGTCGCTTTTCAACACTTGAAAAAACAAATAACTATTCTACAACCCTTTTACTTTTTATTATATTCAAATACAAAACAAAATAACCCAAAAACGTGGCATCTGTTAGAATTACTTTCATCTTATTCTTTTTTTTAAGGTATAAGTTACTTAAAATCAATAAATTTACCTTCTAAATTTAAAAGGCACTTAAATTGGAATTTATTATCCAAACATAATTAATTGTTTTCTAAATGATATTTAGACATACATACATATACAAATACAATACATACAAATTTTAAAACGAATGTCAAACGATGCTGTCAATTTCTTTTCACACAGACCTGTCACTTTTCACACAGAAATGTCACTTTACGTTTGTGTTTTGCCTTGTCAATGAAAAGATTCATTTTCTAAGCAACGATGCCATTACGAAATGTGACTTTTACATAGTGGTCGTAGAAAAAATTAATTTTAGACATTATATTATAATGTAATATATATATAATATATTATAATATAATATAGTGTCAAATATACATTAATATATTACAATATACCTATATTATTTTTATTTATAAAATCTTTTGTAAGTTACGTTCTTTTTCAGGTTTTAATTAGTGATCGACTGATACCGATATGAAAATATCGGCCATCAGGCCGATTATCGGTATCGGCTGATATACATAGGTACATCGGCCAATATATTATTTCTTTAATTATTCACGAAAGAAATTGTTTCTTAGGGAAAACTTAATTAAACATGTATTGTATACACTATCGGCCAAAAGTAAAGAAACATTTTAAAACTTTTGTTAAATTGCTTACCCTAATATTCTCTTAACTTAAAGTGGAATAAATATATACGTTTTATGGTGTACTTATTTGGTAATAATTGAATTGGTGAGTTTAAAAACAGTACAAGTCCAAAATTTAAAATTTTGACAAATTATTTTTATAGTTTTTGTGAGAATATTTCAACTATTGTTATATTTTATAAAATAGTTAAAATATTCTCAAAAAAATGCATTTTAAACTAACAAAATGATTTTATAAAATAACAAATAAACAATTTAAATTTTGGACTGGATATCACCGATTCAATTATAAAGTTAAAATAATCACACATTATATAGTAATAAAATTTTATAGTTTTTAAAGCGGCCAAAAGTAAAGACACAATATATTCTTTTCTAAAATAAACAAAACAAAAAATAAGTAACGGGTAGCGTAACCATTACTTTTTATAACTTCTGCACATCTTCTTGACATGGATGAATAAGATTATTTAAAACTGTTCGGTATTTCGTTCCACACCTTTTGAACTGCAGCCATCAAATCCTCCTTTTTATCGTAGTTTTCGGGGTGTTCCTCGCGAACTTTGCGGTCTATGAGGTCCCAAAGGTTTTTAATTGGATTAAGGTCGGAACTCTGGGGGCTGGCCATTTCATCAAAATAAATTTTGCTGTAATAATTTTTGGGATCATTGTCGTGCTGAAATACCCACAAGGGCATATTACCCTCATAAACGGAAGCATATGATTCTGTCCATTATGCCGTCTATATGGAGAAATAGTTTTCATCTCCGTTTTTTAATGCTTTTGTTCAAATTTTAGTTATTTTTAACTAAGCCTATTTTTTTAGGTACGTTGTACGTTTAAAATGTGCCAAATGTGAACAGTCAAACGGGAAACGTCAAAACAGATGAAAGAGTGATAGTTGATATATTGAACTAAAGTAACATTTGGCAGACGTCTAGGACTCGCGTTTTTTTTTAAATAATTTTAAATGTGTAAAAAACAAATGCTCTATTAAGTGATTTGCTCGTCTTTATCTTATTTTTTAATTGTTCATTTGTATCTCCTAAATAAGAAAGAAAAGATTCATTTTCTAAGCAACAATGCCAATATGAAATGTGACTTACATAGTGGTTGTAGAAAAATAGGTTTTCTTAAATTGTATTTTTACTCAAGTTACTGTAAGATATATTTTTGTTCAAATTTTGAACCATAGGTGAAGTGAAATATTACATTACATGTCCTTTATTTTATTACATACTTTAAAATCAAAATCACTTAACATTTTTTTATTTGCAGGGCATTAGTATGCAAGTTGTCAGATTCAGATTTGATGGTAATCCAATTAACGAAACAGATACACCAACCACCCTTGATATGGAAGAAGGGGACACAATTGAAGTTTACCAACAGCAAACTGGTGGAAACTGTTAAAATGTTATGTATTTTTATACTACCTTAATGTTATTACTGTCATTAGATTAAAATGTCAATACTAAAATTAAAGTAGTTTTATGTATAGACCTAAGTTAATTTTAATTTAATTTTTAAGATTACTTTAAATGAAAAACACAATTAATAACAAAATTTATTTTTTAACTTCAAACATTCATACAACCGATTTCTTTGTATTAGGTCTGATTTTTGTAATGTAATAGTTTAAATTAAACTCATTTTGATATAATCTTGTTTTTAAATGTCCCTATTTCGTTTTATTTTTTTTTGAAATTGGCTTATTTAAAGTCGTTTCTTTATAGCTAAATACATTATCTCCGCTTGATCCAAAGTGGAGATTTGTAAATATAACTGTTGCAATTGCTGCAAACACTGTCATTAAAGTAATTATTTCAGCTGAGTTAGGTAATGGTGATGCACAAATGGTATACCAAATTGAACCATTAGATGGAGGTTTTTTACTAGGAATACAGTTCCAGTTGAAGTATTTTTCATCATAATCAGTAGGGCATAGGTACTTTCTTTTTTGTAAGACCTAAAATTTTTACGGTTATAGTTAGGCACATTTTTAAATTAAAAGTTGGTTACCATGCCAAAAGCAGTATGTAAAGGTGAATATTTATCACAAGGTCCAATTGGTTCCCTAAGTCCCATAGATATTTCATTTTCGGGTTTTAGAAATATGGATATAAATAAAAATGTAAGGTAGTGAATAATCAAATGAGTTACAATTACCCAAGTTGACCAGTGAGTTTTATTATCATTAGTTTTTTTGAAATCAGCGTTTTTCTTGGAACGATCCCCAGTCCAAATTATCAAAAGACCAAATGCAAACAGTATAAAGAAACACACTTCACTATGAATATTATAAATATCATGCATAGGGTGATATAACACTACAAACATTAATATTCCTCCAGGTGTTCCAAGGAGGGCTGCGATCAGGGTGCAAAGTATTTCCTTAACAAAACTAAAAAAACAAAACCTCAACATAAATTGACAAACAGTTCTGGTAGGTACATACCTCTTATCTGCTATCCATTTTCCCTCACTCTTACAAATTAGAGTTCTAGTGTAATGAAACCAAAAAATAAAGCTAGCTGCAAAACAAGTGTGAAAATAGTATGAATTCCATGGAACCCAGTAATGCCTATCAGCAATATTTGGATCAGTATCATGCCAAGTCCAATGGATGTAGTTAACTCCAATTATGTCATAAGGAATATCAATAAGAACAACAGCTAGTCCTACTGCTAATGGTTCCGACCATTTTGGTAAACGCATTTTTGCGACTGCAACTACAGCTTGATAGTAAAAACATATATCTAAAATAATTAAATTTTACCAAAAATACCTAATTTAAGAAGTTTAACAAAATCTGGGGCCAGTTTTTGCAAAACCCTTACAAAATACCTACAAACAATCATAATATGTAAAGGTAATCTAAGTCCCAAAAACATAATGGGGGTTTGTGAATGCCAAAAATTATCAATATCTGGCAAGACATAAGATATCATTTCTATTACAACTCCATGAAGAAAAATACCAAGCCATAGGTAAGGCAGTCTCCCACCATTTGAAAAAGCTAAAATAAGTTAAATTAAAAAAAAAAAGTATTTTGTGTACGTTATACCATGAATCAATGTTGCAATTCCTCCAATAATATAGGCGCATTGTGAAACAACATTTGATGGTTGATATTGGATATTAATAGATGGATCCGAAATATGTATGAACCAATCCCAAAACTAGAAATTAAATTAATTCTTATATAAAAAGTATAAAATATGATTATTTTATTGAAGTAAGTTTCTTTTCAAAGAAATAAATAAAAATTTAAAATGGTATAAAATCTTTATAATTTGCATTTTTTAAATGAAATTTAAAATTTATCGATAAACTATGGTAAATAATAAATTGCACCAATTAAATTTATATTATATTTATTGGGGGCCCCATGGGGCCGGTACGGCCGAGCAAAAAGTTATATTTTTTTCATTACAAAAAATTGTACCAAATTCTTTAATAAACTAGAAAAAGTATACGCTAAAGAAACATCGGGTTTTTGCAACGCGTGCGCCATCTGGTGGTGTTTGATAGCATTGTAGTTGAGTTCAAGAATTGTTAAACTACAACGTTTTATATTCAATAGATAAATATCGTCATTACCCTGCTGAAAAAGACGGGTAAGATGGATGATTGCGGATAAAAAACCAAGCTAGTTTTAGGTCCATTTAAATCTATTTTCATGCGGCATATCTGATTTTTCCCGGCATGTCGGTTTTCATCTGCAATTCCGGGTATAAATATTCTCCGCGAACGTCGGGTTTTATCTATTTGGTTCTGTCTGCTTTCATCTGTTTTTACCCGGTTTTATCTGCGTTTGCCTTCATTTACTTCTTTGCCTGCTTACGTCCGGTTTCATCCGCGATTATCTGATTTTATCCGGTTTCACTTGCAAACATCTGATTTCATCCACAAACATCTACTTTTATCTGAGAACGCCTGATTTCATCCGTTTAGTGCACCCCCGCAAGCATCCGTAATTATCTGCTTTTGACCGTATCTACTGCGCTTCGTTTATATTTTTATTTGTCCGGGATAATCTGCAAACGTTTGCAGACGCGTCTGGTTTTATCTGCGATTACCTGCATTTTTCGTCTATTTTGTCGGGTTTCATCTGCAAACGTCGTTTTATACGCGAGCATCTGCTTTTACCCGCAAAGGCCTGCGTATTCCAATTTTACCCGCAAACATCTAATAGTCAGTGGCGGCTGGTGGATTTTATGTATACCAATATCTCAGTTATTAGACATGGGACCCACACCAAATTTATAATAGTTTATAATGACCTTAAATAAACAAGTTCGGCGCAAACAAAATTTAAATTGATGTTTGCGAAAAAAGTTAGTTTTTCCTGTTGCCTCACCCGCCTCCAGGCCCCCCTATTTGAGATAATTCAAATTAAAGTGGTGCAATTTATTATCTACTATAATTTATCGACAAATTTAAAATTTTATTTAAAAAATCCAAATATTACAGATTTTATTCGATTTTAAATTTTTATTATTTATTTTATTGAAATAAAAAAATATTTAAAATGGTATAAAACCTGTAATACTTGGATTTTTTAAATAAAATTTTAAATTTTTTGATAAATTATAGTAGATAATAAATTGCAGCAATTTAATTTGAATTATCTCAAATATATAGGGGGGCCTGGAGGCGGGTAAGGCAACAGGAAAAACTAACTTTTTTTCGCAAACTTCAATTTAAATTCTGTTTGCGCCGAACTTGTTTATTTAATGTCATTATAAACTATTATAAATTTGGTGTGGGTTCCATGTCTAATAACTGAGATATTGGTATACCCAAAATCCATCAGCCGCCACTGCTAATAGTATATTAAAGAACTAATGTCATAAGACGTCATTTTGTGTAATGGACGAGTGCGATAAAAGGTCTTATCTATTTTGCAAAAATTCCATAAAAAAAATTTTATACCGTAAATTTTATTCGGCTCGTGTGACAAACCCTTCAGTCGAGCGGAATATGCTGTATTCCAAACTTGTTACAGAATATACTATTCTTTGTTGATAAACAAAATTTATTGCCAGAAAAGTCTCGTATGTACTAGAAAAATCTTAAAAATATTATAACCAATATGCAAAATATTATGCTGTTTAAAGTATAGCCAACCTATAAAATCAAAATTTTGGGTGGGATAAAGTATCTCATTACAGCATATATATTAAGTCATTATGAACGCAAAATAGATAAAAGGATTTAAATGTTACAAGTTTTGCTTAATTTTTACAACAAACAAAAAATATTATTTTTGCAAGTAAAATGCAGTATTTTCATAATTAAATTTTAAAATTATAATTTTTTTCTGTAATTTTTTCTAAATTGTACATAACATTTTTTTAAAGAGGAGTGAATAGCATCAAACATAATATTTAAGTTTGATATTGTTGAAGTAAGTGCATATATTTCCTGTGTGCCACTGGGTTCAGGAGACGACTCCACTGGATTAACTAGTTAAAGCTGTAAGTAAATGTTTTAGTTGTTGAGATTAGCGTTTTAAATTGTCGAAAATAAAATCGAAAAAACTTTTTTTTTCGGTTTTTCCCGGGTATTAAAAAGTTGTCTTTTTTAGGAAAAATTTAATTTTTTTGAAATATTAAAAAAAAACATTTTAATAAAAATTTAATTTTTTTGAAATATTTAAAAATACACATTTTAATAAAAGGTTATTTTTATTTTGTTGATGTAATGTTTTTGTGGTTCGAGGGTGAGTTTATTAACAAACTAAACGATTTATTTTTATAACTTATTTACAATGAAAACACTGAAAATCTATGAAACTAACTATTCACTTAACTACTAATTATTTATGTACAATTGTATTAAAAGTCTATTTATTTATCCGTATATTTAATTCTGTCGCGAGGACCAAAGCCTAACTAACTGCTCGACTCTCTGATACGCCTTATATATCCAGGGTCTACGTGACCTACTGCAAGCAAGCACCTTCCAGTACGTTCCACACCGCTCTCGATCGTTCGGGAATCCCCCGCCGTAAACAACCGATTACTCATCGCCGATAATTATGTTGTAACCCTGCTGAAAAAGACGGGTAATATCGGATGATTGCGGATAAAAAAACAAGCTAGTTTTATGTCCATCCGACATATCTGAGTTTACCCGGCATGTCGGTTTTTATCTGCAATTGCGGGTAAAAATATTATACGTCGGGTTTTATCTATTTAGTTCTATGTCTGCTTTCATCTGGTTTCATACGTATATGCCTGTATTTGGGTTTATATCTGCATTCACCCGGTTTTATCTGATTTTATCCGCAAACATCGGCTTTTATCCGCAAACATCTGTTTTAATCTCCAAACATCTGCTTTTATCCGCAAACATCTATTTTAATCTACAAACATCTGCTTTTATCCGCAAACATCTGATTTTATCCGCAAACATCTGCATTTATCCATAAACATCTGCTTTTATCCGCGAACATCTGCTTTTATCCACAAACATTTGCTTTTATCCGCAAATATCTCATTTTATCCCCAAACATCTGTTTTCATCTGCAAACATATGCTTTTATCCGCAAACATCTGCTTTTATCCGCAAACATATGCTTTTATCCGCAAACATCTGCTTTTATCCGCAAACATCTGATTTTATACGCAAACATCTGCTTTTATCCGCAAACATCTAATTTTATCCGCAAACATCTTATTTTATCCGCAAACATATGCTTTTATCCGCAAACATCTGATTTTATCCGCAAACATCTGATTTTATCCGCAAACATCTGATGTTATCCGCAAACACCTGCATTTATCCATAAACATCTGCTTTTATCCGCGAACATCTGCTTTCATCCACAAACATTTGCTTTTATCCGCAAACATCTGATTTTATCCGCAAACATCTGATTTTATCGGCAAACATCTGCTTTTATCGGCAAACATCTGCTTTTATCCGCAAACATCTGATTTTATACGCAAACATCTGCTTTTATCCGCGAACATCTGCAAACATCTGCTTTTAATTGCAAACCTCTGCTTTGACGAATGTAAATACAAATTGTATGCTAACATGAATAAAGTATTATTATTATTATTATTATTATTTCATCCGCGTTCGGTTTGCCTGCATTTACTTTGTCCATTTCGATCCTGTTTTGTACGCAAACGTCTGGTTTCATTCGCGCTTTTTGTTTTCCTTTTTCTCGTGTTTAGTTTACCTCCTTTGTCAAATTTTACCGAGCTTTAACTAACTGGTTGTTAGCCGTTTACGGCACACAACTTTATAACTCTAAGGAATTATTTGAATAAAAACAACCTGTAAAGGAAATAAGTTTATTGAACTTCAATATTATTATTATATATATTATTGGTAAAATACAAATAAGGTCTTTGTTAAAAGACATAAATAGACATTTTTTAATCATTAAGCTTACATTTAAATTAATTGTTAGAAAACATATATGTTTAATTTCAAATACATTTGGAATTATAACATCTTCAATTTGTATGGAATTTGTTTGAAAAACACTTATTTCGGCGTATAATTTTTCATCTAAATTTATAAACTTTTTAATTTTGGCATAACCAATATTTTTAATACATATGTGAGAATTAATAGACTTATTATTTCTGTGGTACTCTTCACTATAGTATTAAATTATTAAATTTAAATCTGGTAAATATAATTGAATTATTTTCAACACGACATTTTCCCAATGGAAAAATAATTTCAGTTGGCATTAAATTTTTTTTAAAAACATCCTCGTGGTAGGCACTCTAAAGTTGATTCAAAGCAATTTTTTTTTTAAATATGAGTTGGAGGCTTAAAGTTTTTAAATACCTACTTGTTGGCGATTTGTTGTTGGACATATTTAGGCCCAGTTAAAAGGATTTTTAGAGAAAAGTGGAAAAGGTCCACAATGGGCCCAAACGTCTTACACACTTTCCCAAATGGCCCAATAAGTGAATATTGAAAGACATTTTAGCTGCACCGTACAAATTTTGAAATTCTTCTAAAATCAGGCGTTCGCAGATAAAA